TGAAGCAGCAGGAATGAGAACCAGCACTTCCCATTCCAAGACTATGATCCTACCGGGAGGAGGCCCCACCCAGGGCAGACCCTGGACTCACTAGAGATTGTATCTCTCAGCTGCCTGGGAATGCAAGTTGGAGGAGGTAGGTGGGGTGTGGGAAGTCTAGGCTTCTCTGCTCAGATAGTTACCCCTGGGCCCAAGCTCGGATGCGAGGCAGGAAAATGGATGGATGAATGGACATTTTGATACTTGTATTTACTTATTACTTACTATTTTAATTTTTATTACACATTTAAAAAAATTTAAAAAACTAGAATTACTTTTTAAAATATTTTATTCTCATAGATAAATCCACACAGCAGTATATTAGTAATTAAAATAATTATATTAATTATAAAGCTACCATGCCACTATATGACTATACTACACAGTGTAGAGTCACCCCCAAATTTCCTAGATGTTCAAAGTTGAAATTTTATTTGGCCGCACCAAAAAGAACAGTGAAAGTACACACATCAGGGACAAGAGGAGAAAAAATCTACTCGAACTGGGCTCCTAACTGGGAGCCAGTTTGAGGACAGTAAAGAAAACAAAAAAGCAAATGAATATTCACATCTTACACCATGTAAAAGGACGTGACATGCAAAGGGAGGAGGGTATGGGGTAAGGAATGATCTGGTGTAGACAGCAGCCATGTTGTCCTACAGCCTTTTCCAGTGCTGGACTGGACCATCTGCATCAGGTGGGTAGCAAGCATCAGAGGCTTTGGAATGGGGGCGGGGGGTGAGTGTATATCTGCATCAGTGTACATGCATGTGTGTGTGTGTGTATCCTGTGTTCAGCTTGAGAGAGAGTGTGTCCTTTCACCTGGTTAAGCAAAAGTCAACAGTCCTCGGCTGATGCAGGTGTCCTTGAAGGATAGGGGCAGAGAGTCAAAACAGAGTCCCGTTATCAAGGAGAAGAATTTGTTGTTCCAGAGCCGAATGAGTGAAGGAGATGATTATGGACTGATTCTTATATAGTGCTTTTCTACTCTCCCCAAGTACTCAAAGCACTGTGCACAACATGCCTCATCCACCCATTCAAGCACTTCTAAACACAAGTACAAAGTAATCTACATTCACACACATTCACACTCCGATGAACGCATCATCTTTCCCAAGGATATCTGACATGCAGACTGGGGAAGCCAAGGATCAAACCACCAACCTTCCAGTCTGATCTGCTCTACCACCTGAGCCACAGCCACCCGCATGAATAAATAAACTTGCTGTTGTTTGGGTTAATGTGAACAACTGCATCCGATTTTGCAGTCGGGCTAATGTCCCTCACTGGTCATCAGGTATACAGGGAGTGCAGAATTATTAGGCAAGTTGTATTTTTGAGGAATAATTTTATTATTGAACAACAATCATGTTCTTGGAAGTAGTTTTTAGTTTTAGCTATTTTAGGGGGATATCTGTGTGTGCAGGTGACTATTACTGTGCATAATTATTAGGCAACTTAACAAAAACAAATATATACCCATTTCAATTATTTATTTTTACCAGTGAAACCAATTAACATCCCCCAATTCACCAATATACATTTCTGACATTCAAAAACAAAACAAAAACAAATCAGCGACCAATATAGCCACCTTTCTTTGCAAGGACACTCAAAAGCCTGCCATCCATGGATTCTGTCAGTGTTTTGATCTGTTCACCATCAACATTGCGTGCAGCAGCAACCACAGCCTCCCAGACACTGTTCAGAGAGGTGTACTGTTTTCCCTCCTTGTAAATCTCACATTTGATGATGGACCACAGGTTCTCAATGGGGTTCAGATCAGGTGAACAAGGAGCCCATGTCATTAGTTTTTCTTCTTTTATACCCTTTCTTGCCAGCCATGCTGTGGAGTACTTGGACGCGTGTGATGGAGCATTGTCCTGCATGAAAATCATGTTTTTCTTGAAGGATGCAGACTTCTTCCTGTACCACTGCTTGAAGAAGGTGTCTTCCAGAAACTGGCAGTAGGACTGGGAGTTGAGCTTGACTCCATCCTCAACCCGAAAAGGCCCCACAAGCTCATCTTTGATGATACCAGCCCAAACCAGTACTCCACCTCCACCTTGCTGGCGTCTGAGTCGGACTGGAGCTCTCTGCCCTTTACCAATCCAGCCACGGGCCCATCCATCTGGCCCATCAAGACTCACTCTCATTTCATCAGTCCATAAAACCTTAGAAAAATCAGTCTTGAGATATTTCTTGGCCCAGTCTTGATGTTTCAGCTTGTGTGTCTTGTTCAGTGGTGGTCGTCTTTCAGCCTTTCTTACCTTGGCCATGTCTCTGAGTATTGCACACCTTGTGCTTTTGGGCACTCCAGTGATGTTGCAGCTCTGAAATATGGCCAAACTGGTGGCAAGTGGCATCTTGGCAGCTGCACGCTTGACTTTTCTCAGTTCATGGGCAGTTATTTTGCGCCTTGGTTTTTCCAAACGCTTCTTGCGACCCTGTTGACTATTTTGAATGAAACGCTTGATTGTTCGATGATCACGCTTCAGAAGCTTTGCAATTTTGAGACTGCTGCATCCCTCTGCAAGATATCTCACTATTTTTGACTTTTCTGAGCCTGTCAGGTCCTTCTTTTGACCCATTTTGCCAAAGGAAAGGACGTTGCCTAATAATTATGCACACCTGATATAGGGTGTTGATGTCATTAGACCACACCCCTTCTCATTACAGAGATGCACATCACCTAATATGCTTAATTGGTAGTAGGCTTTCGAGCCTATACAGCTTGGAGTAAGACAACATGCATGAAGAGGATGATGTGGACAAAATACTCATTTGCCTAATAATTCTGCACTCCGTTGCAGAGCCAAGATCTCATCCATATTGCGTTCAGTAAACACAGTCTGAGGACTCATGGCTTGCCCATCACAATCATGTCAGCCAGCCTTGTGGTGTTTTGAACAGCTGTAACCGTGAGTTGTTTGACAGATGTGATGGGACTTCCCATGTTGCACAAAAGAATTCTTCTCTGTTAAACTCTTTTCACTCTTGATGTGTTTTACGGCACTACTGCTTACCACAAAATGTTGCCTTCTTCTCATAGTTTGTGCTCTCCTTATCTCTGTGTGCTCTTCTTATTTATCCTCTATTTCCCCTCACCTGGAACCACAAAAGCAGATGGCTTGTGTTGAAGATCTGTTCCTGTCTGTTTCCTTTATGGCCAAGTGCTGCTTATAAAGGATCACCATATGGTTGTGGTTTTCCTTCCTGGGGTCTTTGTCTTATTATGTAAGGTGCCTTGAGAATAATGTTCTTATGAACTGGATGTATAACTACAGCTTAATTGAATTAAATGCTACTCTGGTTGCATGTGTTTTGGAGGATCTGTCACATTATGTGCTGTTGTAAATCAACCAGCCTATGAGTAAAACCACGAATAAAACAAAAAAAGGCTGCAATTATTGTGCACAAGGGGTCACTCTAGAGCGACTCTGTTATTGAGTTTCATAGTTCAATACTCAGTTTCAATTCCTGTCAGATAACATCAGATGATGTCTGCAGCCCCATTTCACTGAAAAGTTAGTTCAGTCCAAAGCAATAAAAGTATTTTTTCATGTTAAACACTCCATCAGTAACAGTACTAACCACTGAGCTATGTTGCAACATTCATGCTTCACAATCATCTGTACAGTAGCAAAAAGTCATGGTGTGTCTGCATAGTCTCCTCAATTATAGGTGACTAATACACATTGAGTCAGCTGCTGAGAGGGTATGTGGGCTCTGTGATAGGCTGGCTTGTGTTTCAGGATGTACTGTTGATTAAAACAGAAGGACTGACAGCAATCTTTGTACCTAAACCACTAAAGCAAAAGGTTAGGTGCGATTTTAGCTCAAGAAACTAACATGAAACTTTAAACCTTATGATAGTTTCCAGAAATTATCATTTAGACCATTTAAGTGTGTAGAAATGATGCTGTGCATTAAAATATTTTAATCATAGTTTTCCTTTCCTTCATACGTGAGAAAGCCAGACAAAAATATCTGAAAGTGTATAGTTCACTGAGAGACTGACCTGCAGTGAAACCAAATGTTTTTATGAAAGCACAAAAGTTTCCATCTACAGTAACTTACCTAAGTCATAATACATAAATTGTCTTTTATGAATCAGTAAATTGTTGAGAATCTTTGCCTTCTCTACTAAAAATAATACAACCATAAGAATCATAAATGCATTTTTTCAAAACAGACATTTGCATATAAAAGAAGAAACAAAACAGCAACAAAAACCCAAAAACTCATTCAACAGTCAACACCTAATATACATCATAGATAATACATCTTGGCTGTTATTGGCTATTGGCTGCTGAAACTGGTGTTCAACACTTTTTGAAGAGTCTCTGACTAATGAAACAGCCCGATCAAGACTTCCGGGCCAAACCCACAGACCAAAGAAATATAAATACACCTGAGAAGAGAAGAAAAATGAGTGTTAATTCTTCTTGCAAGTGATCAAAGTCCAGTGCATATTTGATATAAGAATCATTCACATAATAACCTTGAAGGGAGTTCAAAATGGTGAATATGTAGATCCCAGCGAGTGAAACGTACGTAGTGCTGGCTAACCCCCAAGGTAACCCCAGCACACAGCTGAGGCCCAGCACTGTGACACAGTCCCTCCATAACCTCTTTCTTTTCTCTTTGTTTATCTCCTTCCAGTCACTGCTGCTTACAAAGCTCATCTTCTTATCATCACTTCTTAATTTCCGCATCTTACACACAACCAGCCCCAGCATGCAGGCATTGAACACGACCACCAACAAAGGAAAGGCCACAGTAGTGATGTAGCTGACTAGAGGACGCTTTGATTGGAAGTCGCTGCTAATCCAGCACCTGCCCATTATAAAAGATAAAATAAAAAAATACAGTGAGCTCCTTTAACATAACAGCATGTATATGTGCATAGTCAAAATACCATGCTAATTACATATTTAAAATCAAAACCACTGAGTTTCTTACATTTGTGCTGTTGAATTGCCATTTTTGGTTTCCCTTAGTTGTAGAGTGTACTTGCCATAAACACCTGAAATCCCACAAATTGTTGCGACCAATGTGGGAAAACCTGGACAAGGGAATGATCAATTACCTTTAATTGAATCATTAGATACAAAGACCAAGATAAGATCACTTCATCACTTAATCACTTTAAGCATATTTGCACTGCACAAGACATAATGTGGATTGCACAACACTGGTCACTACATTCTTCA